CCATTCACAGTCCCCGAGCCGTGTTAGTCACGCCTGCAGACGCCGATACAAGCCCGCTGCGTCAGAAACCTGCTCTGGCACAGGCCAACGCGGACGCCGCCAGCCCGCGCTCTGCAGAGCGAGGAAGAGAATGACGAGGCAGACGACCTCGAAGACGTAGAGATCATCGAAGTCCGAAACAAGGCAAGAGAGCTCTGAGCCTGTGGAAGCGGAAGCGGAAGCACCCGTAGAGGGCAAGGGTATCTTATCGCCATGGCCATGGACGGATATGGGGAAATAAAGATAAGCAGGAAAGGCAAGGCAAGGCAAGGTAAAGGCAAATGTAAAAATGAGGGCAAAAAAGTGGAATTAATTAATAACTTTCAAAAGGCCAAAGTTTGGAGTCTTTTCGGTTATTGATTTGATTTGGCGGTGCAGGTAAACGTAGACTTGAGAATGGATGGGATGATGGGCTGGCGATCGTAGTTTAGGCGAGGCGCGTGGGGGGTTAGATATCATATCATATCCATACCATGCGATATCACACTATCAAGTCTATACTCCAGATGCGGATGTAATGTAGACGCAGATGCAGAAGTAGATATACACACTGTACAAAAGGAGGAAGTCGAGGACGACGAAGCAGGAAAAAAAAAGGGAAGGAAAAGGCGCCCGTCTCGAATTCTGATTGGTTCGTACAAGCGCGAGGACACGCGAGGTTGGTCATGACTAAGCAGCACTGCTTAGTAATATTCTACTTACTAAGCATCTTAACTTTTGCCCCACGAAGACAAAACCGAACATAAACACGAACATAAAACACGAATATAAGAAAGAGAAGAGAGAGACGAAGGGTTAGCTTCCGAGGACGATGAACTATCTCACAGCCCTAACTAGTCCCAACTCAGGCAGTGTTACTCACTTACCTTCTCCAGCTCATCATAAGGCATGGCATGGCAGGCGTGGCATGGCAGCAAGACAAGGCAAGGCAGTCAGTTTACTTCCCTAGTTAAGTCGAGAGGAAAGAAAAGAAACGAAAAGTCAATTCCTGAAGAAGGACGAAAAAGAAAAAGCAAGCATGGGAAAGTCTAAAGTCAAAGCCTCGACTTGATATCGAGACACAGGCAGATACACAGGCAGTACAGAGTAGATAGATGGTAGAGGGTAGAAGGCAGAGGGTGGGTGGGTGGCCGTTTGCTTTGATGCGAGTGTTGAAATAGTCAGTTGGGCTGCAGCTGTCCACTGCGTCTATGGCATGCGCACATACATACATATATGCATACACTATACTTCTTAGAGATATGTATGTATTGTATGTATGTATGGGATGATCCACCGCCACCTGCTAAGTAGAGTCAGGAGGGAAGCGGAAGGGAGGAAGGGAGGAAGCTGATCTCCGTGTCTAGAGCGGGTTGGATCTGCTGGTGATAGACTCCATGTACGGATGAAGAATATAGGATATACGTGTAGTAAGGTCAAAGGCAGGAGATAACATAAGATCCGCCAGGGCCGGAAAGTAAGCGTAAAGCAGGTAAATACATATCCGATAGATAGATAGTATAGATAGATAGTATAAGTAAATAATAAGGTATTTCTTCTTCTTCTTCTTCTGGCCTTGCCACCCGTCCATCCACCGTCCGTCCACCGTCGCCCGCCACCTTTAAGCCAGGCTACTTACCTACGCAGAGAAGAGCAGACCAAGCCAAGTTTAGAGCAGAGAAGAGAGTGAAGTGAAGTAAGTAAATATTTGATAGAAAGGATAAAGTAAGTAAAGTAAAGCAAGTAAGTACGTATGGGGCCAGTTAATGTGCATAGCATAGCAGGGGATGTCTTCGGCGAGGATGCGTTTGTAGAAGCGGGTTTCCTTGAGCTGCATGGAGGAGGTGATGTTTTCTCGAGGGGAGGAAGAGATGCCGCCGTGAGACGGGGAGGGAGAAGAGGCAACCGAAGAACTAGCTCCTGCTGGACTACCAGCATTGACATGGTTATTACTATGGTGGTTGCTGTTGTTATTGTGGTTGTCCTGGGAGTTTGTGGGAGTGTGGGTGGTCGACTTTGGACGGGAAGAGGTCAGGTTGGCCAGGTTCATGACGTTGAGCCCGCTGTAGGAGCCACTGCCTACACGACTGGGAA